AAAGAAAATTAAAATATTTCCACATGTCAATGGGGCTATCTCCAAAGAGACTAGCATTCATTTAAATCTGTGGTCTGAGTAGAGAGGTTACTCTAATTGTTGACAGTGGGCATAGTCTAGTTCACTAAGGGCCTGAATATTGAAGAAGGATGGGGGAAGGGCCAGTGTGGTTCTGTTTAAGCCACACCCACCTTCTGCTGTAAGAAATGTCTTCCTGGTTCTCCACCTGTGGACTTAGACTAGACCTATACCACCAAGATGCTTGTGACTGGCTTGCAGATGGCAGTCTAGGACTTCTCAGCCTTCAGTTTCTTGTGAGCCAATCCTGTGTAATAAATCTCAGTGAGCTGCCTCGCTCTGTTTCTCTGGAAAACTGTGACCAATGCAAGTCCAGACCTTTCTGTGTTCCAGTCTCAGTCTCTTGTAAAACTGTAGTATGTTCTCAACACAGTAGCTGAAGTAAGCTGATTTAAAAAAAATATATGTCACCAGAGAGTCTAATGGAAAGCTTAGGAGGTGCTAAGTCAAGGAAAGAAAATAAAGTACTAGAAAAGGGGATAAAGGTGTGCAGCTTCTGGGCCTCACAGGCAAGAACCATCAGACATGCTCTGCGCAAAGACACAGCAAAAGCGTGGAAACCAAGGAAAAGTGAAAGTCTGCTTGAGTGCCAATGGAGTGGCCACATAGTGTAGAGATAAAGCCATGCTTGGGGAAACTTGGGTTGGATGATCAGAGGGTCCATGTGGCACCATTTCAGGAAGAAGTACATGCGTCCCCAGGAGGAGCGAAAAGCCTGTGGTTAGCTGGCGGTTAAGACAACATTTAGACATATAGTTGATACAATATTTATGTTAGAGTTGAAAGGAAAAGACAAAAATCACAGGAAGGACTTAAAAATCAGCATCATCTTCCTCTTGAAACCTTTCAATGACTTCTTGTCTTTATTTCTAGTGAAGCCGCAGCCCTCCCAGCAAGGAATGCCCTGCCCTCCCCTTCTCTCTCTGTCTGTCCCAGCATCCCCTCCTTGCCCTTCCCTGCTCGGCTGACCGTAGCGCCTTGTGCACTGGGGCTGGCCTCTGTGCACTGGCCGATGATGGGATCTCTTCCTGTGCAGGGCTTTCCTCAGTCGTCATCTGTACAGGCGTTCCTCTCAGGTGATTGCATAAAGGTCCCTGAATTTCCATTCTCTTTCTCTTCACTTACTCCTCTTCACCTGTCACTGTCTGGCATGAAGAACGTTGCAGTTATTTTCTCTCTGCCCCTTGGGCATAAGCTCCCCAGGGACCGAGATTTTTGGTCTGTTTGGGTCACTGCTCCATCCTGGACCCAGAAGTGGCCTATATTGAGCAAATGCTCAATAAACCGTTGTTGGCTGACTGTACAAAGACAACTATACATCTAAATGTCTTCACAAGTCCTTTGGACACATAGACTCCTTCATGCCCTAGAAAGGACCCAGCAAGTGGCAGGTGTAGCTGATGACCAAGTACACTGGGTAGAAGGTGATCTTTCTGGGTTTTTTGTTATACTATCAAACTACAGCTCCCAGCTGAGCTGTTAAATGATGGGAGGAATACAGTCTGGCTAGGTGACAGGTACCCTGGTGGAGAATGGTAATTCAGCAAGGACACTGCCTCTAGGTAGTCAAACAGGCAAACACTGAAGAGTTAGGGTGGTGATGCATAGTGATGTCTCAGCACTCAGGAGGCAAAGGGATCTCAAGTTCAAGGCCTGTCAGGGTATACAATGAGACGTGGTCTCCAAATTTTTTAATGTAGCTGAATGGTAGAACACTTGCCTAACACACGTAAGCGTAGGCTCTGGGCTTGAACCAGCACACGAAAAAGAAAAACAGATAAGCAGGCAGGTAGGTAGGCACTTGTGAGGCCAGGATCGTTCTAGAGGCTGATTAATCCTATTATGCAAGGTTTTTGGAAGGAACCAGCGAAGTGCCTGTGGCAGCTTTGAGCACAGATTGTGCTCCTTAAATAGTGACTATTAGACTGTCAGCCACTGTCCCCGTCCAGTACAACCACACCTTATTGACAATGAACATGCGACCCACTAGGAAGCCCAGGGCCACTCAGCTACCTTACCTAATACAGTTGTGAGGTCACAGATTCTTAAAACACATGAGGCCATGCCAAGACCCACTCGGGCACCTTCCACAGTTCATGTCCAACTTTGTCCAGAAGCATCGATGACTTTAGACATTAAACATTGGAAGAATTCATGTGTCATATTTCAAAACTATTTAGGCAGATGTTTAAAACCAACATCAAAAGAATTCGCCAGGTTTCAGAGGCTAGGTGTCGCTCCACACTCTTCTAACACCACAGTTCCACAGGAGGGGCGCTGTGTGTTTCTCTGGCCGTGGATCTTTTCCAAGGGTATGGAGAGAAAACGGTCCGAAGTGAGCAAAGCCTGGACTCTGATCGACCTGTCTTTTCCTCTGGATGTTTTCCTTTTTCTTTCCCCAAAGTTCACCCTCCAGTTACTACGGTTTCCCGGCTCTCCGCTTATTATTTAGTCACACTCCTGCTTACTCCTCACCGTCCTCTCATCCCTTCCTGATTCCTAGACTTTGATGATTGGGTGACTTTCTTCTTCACTTGCCTTCCTGAAAACCCTTCCAAGTGTGACCCTAAGTTCCCAACCACCCTTTCCCTCCTCTGCAGCATTTCTGGCCTTAAAATGAAGCCCTAGAGCTGGGGAGATGCCTTAGTGGTCGAGAGCACTGGCGGCTCTTCCAGAGGACCCGGGTTTGAGTCCCAGCCCTCATGTGACAGCTTACAACCTTCTTCAACTGCAGTCCCTGTTTTAGCCTTTGCAGGCACTACACACATGTGGTGTACAACCTACATGTAGGCCAAACACCCATGCACACAATAATAATTTGTAAAACATTTAGCCCCAACTACACTAGCTGAGAATGCTTCTGTCCCACCCTTTCACCAAATTCATTCAGTTTGAAAGTTGCTTTGCTTCCTTCCTATTTCAAACTGGGGGAGCGAGGGGGGAGGCAAGCTTAGTGAATGCCCGTCCCTTACAGCTTGAAAGAGTTAATATGCAAACAGCACTTTAAAAAATATTTATTTTATGTGTATTTTGCTGGCATGCATATATATGCACACCATGTGCGTCCCTAGTGCCACGGATGTCCTGGAACTGGAGTTACAGACAGTTGTAATCTGCCATGTGAATACTGGGAATTGAACCTGGGTCCTCTAGAGGAGCATCCAGGGCTCTTAACCACGGAGCCATTTCTCCGGCCCTGGAAGTGGCATTTTTAAAGACTTAAGAGAAACTGCAACACTTGGAAAGCCAAGGCTCTGTGTGTGTTGCTATGGCCTAACAGCACTTGAGGCCGAAAGTTCTGAAACCATGGCATGTTTCTGAACAGGGAACCCAGGAGAGCCACAGACCTCAGTGGCTCTCCATTCTGAGCATCCATTCTGAGGATTGCAGAAAGACCCCGTGCTTCTTCTTGAGTGACCCCTCAAATTTCCAAGTCATATTACTCGCTCCTGCCCTTGGCCAATGCAGCACATTAGGGAAAGCCAGACCCTAGCCTTTTTCTCACTTGCCAGCCAGCTGCCAGAAAGCCAGCTTCTCATTCTCAGAGCCCTGGGAGTTTTCCTGCGGGGAGGGCTACAACCAGCTCTTGCCTTATTATTCCTCCATTTTCTCCCTTTGCGGTGGTCGGCTAGCTGGGCTATGGAAGGGATCCCAGGAGCCTCAAAGCCCACTCCCGCAGTACAGGTTCACCCTTGAGGAAAGCACTACCCAGGCAAGGAGGAAGCGCCACGTGGACAGCTTATGACTCTGATTTGTTTAGCTCTATCTGCCTTTGGTTGGCATAAACACTTCTGAAAAATGGGCTACAGCTGCAGCCTTTTACTTTGGTTCCCTTTAACGAGGGTTTATAAAACGACTCACTATGCAGAACACATGTTCTAAGTATAGAATTACTTGGTGGATTGAAACAGTGTGGAGGGATGTCAGACACATGTTTAAAATATTCTTAAAATACATAATTATGTCGTGGGCCAATCAGGTACATAATGCATATTTGGATGTCCCGTTTAATTGCTGCTTACCTGGGGGATAGGAATCTTGCTCATCTCCTGGGTTAAACTGCAGATTTTTAGAAACCCTCCAACCGCATATTTACTTGATTCATTCTGGTCTCTTGGGCGATGAATCCTTTGCCAAAGAAAGGGCTTTCCATGCAAAACGAGACAATTAAACGCATGAGGTGGTGGTGGTGGTGGCTGCCCATGAAAAGAGAAGGGCTTCATCTCTCATGATTCAGAGATAAACACCCCATAGCTGGGCACAACCCCAAAGCTTTAAAATGAACCCACAGCAGTAATCACGGAGTCCGCTTTCCCATCCAGCATCTCCTTACAGCCCCTTAGGGAACAGAAAAGCAAGGCGTATCATTCTGGAGTTTTTAAGAGGGCCACAGGGAGACGAGGCTGGATGTCTTCACCTCTATAACCCAGCGAGTCCAGGAGGAATTCTAGCCCAACCTCCTGAAAGCCCTGCTTCTCCTCCCCCTACAGTACCCGTCTCAAAAAGCCTCACCATCCATACTCATGCTGCATGTCTTCCTCACTCTGTCACGTCCAATCAGGAACTATGTAGGCACATCATTTGACTTCTCAGTCTCCTCCCCTGTAGAGTACTGCAAGAGTACTGACCCGATACAGTTGATAATACAGGCATGGTGGCAAATGCCTATCCAGAACACCAGGGGCGGAAGCAAGAGGGCTGCTGTGGGTTCAGCCCAGCCAAGACTGCGTAGTGGAACACTGTCTCACAAGCAAGAGAAAGGAGATCCCTTCCCCTCTCCCCAGTGCCACCATCAATGCTCCGATTCGAGCCGATGCCGGATTCTCCCGCTCTCCCAATGGCCCAGGGCTGGCCTTTTCTCGTTCTCCAGGCCCATCCCAATCCTTTAAAACTATGTTTTATTTTATTTTTACCAAATCCAGGCATGCTGCTCCTACGCCTGAAAGTCTTCCATGGTCCCACCCACTGTTCAAAGGCAAAGCCCAGCTTATAGAAATGGCTTCCAAGGCCATTTGTGATCAGCCCCTGCCTCACATCCGAGTCCTGTCTGTGTCCTGGAAGGTTGGATTGACTAAGTCTGACTTCAGCAGTAATGGATCAAAGGTATGCATTCACATGAGGTATCAGGCCCCCTAGTCACCTCCACTTCTGGAAACAAGTGGACTTTCTTGACACAGCAGTTATTAAGAGAGTTGGAGAACCATGCTCCCCGCCCCCATCCCTGTCAAAGCTTGTAGTTTATGTTTAGTTCCCCGGCCACTTCAGGCAATAGACCCTCTGAGGGGTGGCTGGTGGGCACCAGGCGTCCCATGACAGATTATGGAAGACTGAGAGCCGGATTTGATGGCTTCTCCAGGCATTCTGGAAGCGTCGTCACGCCTTCTGCAAGTGTGGGCACCACGAGTGAGACCCCACACTGAAGCCCTAGACTGTCATCTACCTCTCTTGCTCATTTTCTTTCCACGTCCGCCTCTGACCGAACAGGCTCTCTCCTGGCTGTAGGGAAGCCAGTCTCTGCCTTCAGTAGATAAAACTGCCGGGGGCTGTGGCGGCTGTTCTCGGTTGTCAACTTGACCACATCTGGAGTGAACTAAGACCCAAACGGCTGGGCACACCTGTGAGGGACTTTTTTTTTCTTAATTAAATCATTTGAAGTGGGATGACCCACTTTTAATCCAGATCTTTTGTTGTTGTTGTTGTTGTTGGGGTTTTTTTTTGTTTTGTTTTTTCAAGACAAAGTTTCTCTGTAGCCCAGGCTGGCCTTGAACTCAAGGGAGATCCACCTGCCTCTGCCTCCTGAGTGCTGGGATTAAAGGCGTGCGCCACGACTGCCAGGTTCAATCCAGATCTTTTGAGGTGGGAAGATCTGGTGGCAGCTTACACGAGGACATGGTAGAGGGAAGCTTTCGCTCTTTGCCCGCTTGCTCTTGTTCTTGCGGGCAAGTCCATTCCTTCACTGGCATTGGTGCCTACTTCTTTGGGGTCTCAGCGTGTGTCGAAGACCAGCAAGGACAGCCAGCCTGGTGGACTGAACAACTACTAGATTCTTGGGCCTTCCATTGGTAAACAGCCATTGTTGGACTAGCTGAACCACAGCCTGTGAGCCATTCTAATAAATGAATATATACAAATATATTATAATATAGAATAAATAAATGAATATATATATGTTCATTCTGTAAGTTCTATTCCCCCAGAGATCACTAATTCAGGGACAAGGCTGCAGATCAGCAATAGAGTGTATGTGTACTGTGCAAAAGGCCCTGGGTTCAATCCCCAGTATCAGAAGAAGGAAAAACTAAGAAAAAGCAGGGTTGATTAAAGTGTTTCTTCATTGTGTGGCCCGTCCCAGACCTGCACTTCAGAGCTTGAGGGAGATTCCCCTAACCCTTGGCCATGGGCTTTCTTTATAGAGGTACTGCACGTCCTTGCTCAGGTTTGTGCCAAGGTGTCTGTTGTTTGGCTTATTGACTTGTTTTTCGTGGCGATTGTGAATGGGACGGTTGCCCTGATTTCATTCTCAGCAGGCTTATCGTTGGTGTGTTGGAGAACTACTGATTTCCACATGCTAATGATGTGTGTATCCTGCCACTTTGCAGACAGTGTTTCCCAGACCTACTAATGTTCTGGTGGAGTTTTCAGGGGCTCTTACTTACAGGATTGTATCATCTGCAAATAAGGATACTCTGGCTTTTCCCTCTCATATTTTATCCCTTTTATTTGCTTTTCTTTCTTTTTTTATAATTTATTTAACTTTATTTTATGTGCATTGGTGTGAAGGTGTCAGATCTCCTGAAACAGGAGTTACAGACAGTTGTGAGCTGCCATGTGGGTGCTGGGAATTGAACCTGGGTCCTCTGGAGGAGCAGTCAGTGCTGCTAACCCCTGAGCCATCTCTCCAGCCCCTTATTTGCTTTTCTGGCCTTGCTGGTCTAGCGAAGACTTCCAGCACCATGCTGAAGAGAGGGGAGAGTATGCTCATCCTTGTCTTGTTCCTTGTTTTAGTGGGAATGCTTCTTGCGGTTCTAAAAGCTGGGAAGTGCAGAAACAAAGGACCAGCAGGTTCTGGATTAATGTGTCTTGATGTGGACAAAGATGAGAGTTTGTCTCTGGCCTCTTACAATAGGAGTGTTGATCCTATTCATGAGGGTCCCAACCCACTGCCTAATCACCCCCAAAGACCCTATCTCCTGGGCTGGGATCCCAGTAAATGAGTGAGGAGGGTACACAGACATTCAGACCGCAGCATAAAGCTTCTTCCTTCACAGGCTGTAACTTCAGGGTTGCACTGATAAACCAGCTGTGCCCAGGAGAACATCTGAAACAATAATCCTGGACACAAAGGTGGACACTCTTATCAGGAAAAGCACGTCTGCCCGATGGGCAAGGTGACTCCCGGTAACAACTAGTCAAAAAGAACAACACTGGTGTACTTAAGAAATAAGTCTGGAAATATCTGGCAGACTCCTGCCTCTGTTTAAGTTGTTCAAAGTGTAACCTGGGGCCTGGGCCTGAAGGATTATATGGATGACAGTGTATTTGAAACGCATAAACCTGAGGCCTATGTGAGCCGGTAAATTTTTCTCTTTGAGGCTGGTGTCCTTTTGTGAGTTAGCCAGAACCCATCACACGCTAGTATTAAAGAGCTGTTCTCTTTATCAATGTCTAAGTGTGTGCCGTGAGTTCTCACTGGAAGGGTTACTGATCCCACAGCATTCCGACACCTCCACTGCTCTGTGTGGTACTGCCTGCTGTTGACCACTGGCCCTACAGAGAGTGCCTGTCGCCGTAAGCCGGCTCATCTGGCTTCCTTCACATCTCCCCACTGCGGGCTGAAAGTCGGCTTCCTCCCTGTCTGTCCGTAGCAGGCCTGGCAGAAAAGAAGACATTCTAAAGAGACTCTGTGTCTCTCAGTCCATCAAACTGTTGAAACATGGACTCCAAAGAAGTGGGAATTTCTTCAGGACTCACATGCTGGGAGAAGGAAAGGGTGCCAGCCAGAGAGGGAACTTGTCACCCAGGAAGAAATTTCAAACAGTTCTAAACAACTTGTCAAACCACCTTGCAGGGTGGGACCAAAACCCAAATAATGATGGTTACCGGTGGGCACACACACACCTTGACCGTGACTGCTTGGATAGCCTTGGCCCTCTGCTGAAATTTTGATCTCACTTCAGGCCCCTGAAGACAGACTCTGGACTCTGTCTCTCTTCCTAATGTGGCCACATTAAATGGATTTTTCTTTCTATACCTTTTCCAGTATTCATTTGGTTCTTTTTATTGGCTTGTTGAGGATAGTGGCCAGACCTAACTTGAGACAGTTTGTGACCACCCCAAGTTTGATACATTGTTTTGCAACGGTTGATCAAGCTACACCCAGCTATGTCCTAAGTTTAAGGGGGAATGTTGCCTGACTCCTTAAACAAAACAAAACAAACCCACAACACAGCAGCACAAAGCCACCCTCCACAGGGACCTTCCCAAGCTAACCTTGAGTTTATGTCGCAGCATCAAGCCAGCCCAGAAGACCTGGGCGATGGAGACACTGTTCACTATTTGACAACTTGTACTTACTTTGTTTTCCTTTCCCAGACTTGAAAGCTGCCAATGTACCGTCCGAGAGTGCTGTCTGCCTGGAGAAATGCAGAGGTTCAGGGACACGGTTTCATACTCGGCATGTGCACAGGTCTAGATTCAGATAAAGAGTTGTCTAGGCCTGGGAAGGGAAATGTTTTGATTAACACTGGCATTCGGCAGGGACCTCACTCGGTGTCCTGGTTCAGGCAGCTACTGTTTATTTATTCAATACAATGAGACAAAGTCATTGAAGTCCCTATTGCTGGTAATTGTCTCAGAAATTGCATTCCTTGGCCTCACAATTAGTTTGATACAAAGCAGGGAGACACTTGGGTTAATAACCTTGAGTTTTTATGACTCAATCAATATTTTGGTTGCTGCAGGCTGCTTTGCAATTGTAAATTTTGAGTACAGTGCTTGTGGAGTGTGTAAATATTTAGCCAGCCATTGAAGCATCAATTAATGAAATCATTCCTTTAATTTAGAAGACACCATTGGCAGCGTGTTGCTATGAGGTATTTATGCTAGTTACTCTCATAGCTGGGAAACTGGAATGCTGTCGTGCTCTGTGGCATATTACTTTGCCGCTTCACAGGCCCTTACTGCAAATATTTCTTGTGGATTAGCTGCCTTCAGACAGGGCTGCCTAGCCGAGGCCCTTGCCACAGATGGCTTTGACCTGATTCTGACTTTATAACCATGCTTCTCTGTCTGCTTAAGATTTGCAGTGTTTTATTCCAGTGCTTGCTAATCTCACAGAGTGCTGGGAGTCACAACTGAGAGGGATTGCTCCATCCTTCTTTTTAGAGTGGGATACTGTTAAAAGGAGAAAACCCTGCATAGTCAGAGCCCCCCCCAATGGCTCTCAAGTACCAAAGCACTGAGTTCAGTGATACTTTCTTTTAACTGGGTATTTTTCTTTTCTTCTTCTGTAAAATTTGGGTTTTGAGTCAGGCATGGTGGTGCACGCCTTATTCAATCCCAGAACCCAGGAGGCAGATGCGGGCAGATCGCTCTGAGTTTGAGGACAGCCTTGTCTACACAGCGAGTTCCAGGTTAGCCAGGGCTACAGAGTGAGCCCCTGCATGCCCCCCCCAAAAAAAAACCCACCATGGTTTTGGGGCCTAGGGAGATGACTAGTGGTAAAAGCACTTGCTGCTCAAGCGTGAGAACCAGAGCTTGGGCACCGAGAACACATGTAAATGCCGGTTGGCTGTGGATGTCCACTGGTGATTGACAGCTTCGAGTCCCCAGAGTAGGCTGGCTAGCAAGAGTAGCCATGTTGGCAAGCTCTGGGTTTGATTGAGAGAGTCTGCTACAACGAATAAGGTATAAGAGCACTCAAGGAATATTGCCCGCACAACTGTGGGACACCAAATACACACTCATATGAATGTACCTATACACAAGCAAAATGTATACACGCACGCTTACTGCACACAGATCAAAATGGAGAAGGAACTGGGTTTGTGTTTTTGAGACATGGTCTAAGGTGTATCAGGCAGGCCTTGAGATCCTGAATCTTCTGCTTCCCCCTTCTGAGTGCTGGGATCAGAGGTGTATAGCAATACACCTGGTACTCAACTGGTTGTTCGTCTAAATCCAAGTTTCCCAAACTATGCTCCTGGGAATATGTTTTCCTGGCTTGCTAAAAGGATTCTACTTTGCTTCTGTTTGGAAAGTCAAATTTTAAAAAAATGGGGAGAAGAAAGAGAAGGAGGAGGCTGCATCATCTAGTTATTAGCTTCTTCAAGCCAAAAGACATCTTGAGGATGAAGAAGTGTGCATACTGTGACCTATAGTTTTCAACTTGAACTATTAGGGGGATTTTAACTCCTTCATCCTAGAAGGGAGTTATCTTAATGCAATTGTGCTAATACATAATTTCTTGGTGTTGTCGCAATCACAAACATGGAATACAGACTGAGTACTAAAGGACACTAAAGTGTAGTGTTCCATGCCTGCTAATCCAGCTGCACGAGAAGCTTAGGCTGGAGGACTGATGGTTTTGATTTTTATCGAGACAGGGTTTCTCTGTGTAGCCCTGGCTGTCTTAGAACTCACTTTGTAGACCAGGATGGCTTCAAACTCACAGAGATCTGCCTTCCTCTGCCTCCCAAGTGCTGGGATTAAAGGCAGGCGCCATCACCATCCCACTAATGCCCAACTTTTAAATTCAGATCCTTGTCCTTGCAATGCTGGTACCTCACTGACTGAGCTCTCTCCTGGAATCCCCCCACCCTGAGATACAATATTGCTATGTGGCCCAGGCTAGCCCCAAAATTCAGTCCTCCAGCCTAAGGTAGGCATAGTGTCACACACTTGTAACCCCAGTGCCAGGAAGGTAGAGACTGTCTAAAGAAACAAACAAACAAACAACAAAACCAAGTTGATAGAGCCTGAGGAACAACACACAAGGTTGTCATCTTGTACACACCCAAGCATACAAGTACATGAACACTGGCAAACACATTCACTTACACACATGAACATGCACACACATGCAGCAAATAGAGAGAATAAATTCTTTCCCCTTTCAGTCATGCATACCAAAGTACACACAGACAAAACCACATATTGCCTAGAATTTCCTTTAAGACACCTCAACAGCACTGATCAGTCCATGGTCAGAGGACAGGGACTCTGTATTTTCCAATTTAGAATACAGTCTCAGTCTATTGCCCTTGTTGGGACTAAGTTATCCTCCAGCCTGAGTCTCCCAATTAACTGGAACTGTGGACACACAGTCTGCCCCTGGGCTAGGACCCTGTCTTTTTCATCTGCATTAGTCTATTGCTCAAACATAGCCTTCAACCCCCAAAGATGAAAAGCTCCTGCTCCTTGAAATCACTGAAAGACTCATACAACTGTATTCACACACCATTGCTCCACCACATCTAGCTGCAAGAGAGGCTAGGCAATATAGTTTCTACTCCAGATCTCCTCCTAGTTGAAGCTTAATTGAATCTGTGTCTTATTTTAGAATTTCTATTGCTGTGAAGAGACACCACGACCATGGCAACTCTTATAAAGGAAAACATTTAATTGGGGCTTGCTGTGGGATGGTCTGTATGTCAAATGTGTTGCTGATTGGTCAATAAATAAATCACTGATTTGGCCAGTGGCCAGGCAGGAAGTATGGGCGGGACTAACAGAGAGGAGAATTGAGAGAACAGGAAGCTGGGTGGGGGAGACACTGCCAGCCACCATTAGGACAAGGAAGATGTAAAGTACCGGTAAGCCACAAGCCACATGGCAAGGTATAGATTAATAGAAATAAATTAATTTAAGCTGTAAGAACAGTTAGCAAGAAGCCTGCCACAGCCATACAGTTTGAAACCAATATAAGTTTCTGTGTTTACTTGGCGGGTCTGATGGCTGTGGGACTGGCGGGTGAGAGAAATTTGTCCTGACTGTGGGCCAGGCAGGAAAACTCTAGCTACAGGGGCTGGCTTACAGCTCAGAGGTTTAGTCTATTATCATCATGGTGCATGGTGGTATTGTGTTCCCCAAAATATTGTTCACCCTAATAAACTTATCTGGGGTCAGAGACAGAACAGCCACTAGATACAAAGGCTAGAAAATGGTGGCACTCACACCTTTAATCCTAACTCCAGAGGTAGAAATCCCTCTGGATCTCTGTGAGTTCAAGGCCACACTGGAAATGGCCAGGCATGGTGACACACGCCTTTAATCCCAGAAAGTGAGCCTTTAATCCCAGAAAGCAAGCCTTTAATCCCAGGGAGTGGTGGTAGAAAGCAGAAAGGTATATAAGGCGTGAGGACCAGAAACTGGAAGCATTTGGCTGGTTAAGCTTTCAGGCTTCTAGCAGCACAGTTCAGCTGAAAGCCATTCAGATATGAGGACTCAGAGGCTTCCAGTCTAAGGAAACAAGACCAGCTGAGAAGTTGGCCAGGTGAGGTTAGCTGTGGCTTGTTCTGTCTCTCTGACCATCCAGCATTTCACCCCAATAACTGGCCTCAGGTTTGATTTTATTAATAAGAACTGTTAAAAATTCCTGCTACAATGGTGGGAAATAGAGCAGACATGGTGCTGGAAAAGGAGCTGAGAGTTCTACATCTTCATCTGTAGGCAGCAGGAAGAGACTGTGTCACACTAGGCCTAGCTTGAGCATATAAGACCTCAAAGCCCGCCCCCACAGTGACACACTTCCTCCAGCAAGGCCATATCTACTCCAACAAGGACACACCTCCTAATAGTGCCACTCCCTATGGGCTAAGCATTCAAATACTTGAGTCTGTGGTGGCCATTCCTATTCAAACCACCACAATCTGTCTATCATCTATCTTTCTATCTATCTGTCTGCCTGTCTATCATCTACCTACCTACTGAGCACCTTGAGAAAAAGTCAAGAGGTCAAGGCTGGTCCTGCAGAGACCGTTGCCCCTCTTCAATGGAAAGCTCATTGTCTTCAATGTAATGATGTAGGATAATAAACCAGTTTCCTGCTGTTTCAAGTGTCACTCGGGTCTCTTTACATTGGGGAACATCTATTGTATTGGCACTCACTGATAAACTATTTAGACAAGGCAGCCTTCAAATTGTGAAAGAAATAGCCCAAGTGTCTGTGGAGCCGTCACAGCCCCAGCGAGGAACAGCAAGTTTACACACCACGCAGTCCCACAAGACATGTCAGCATTTGCTTAGGTAACAGTTGGATTTTACAGTTACTACTTCCCAGGTCTAGGTTATAAAGTCATGGATCTCCCAAAAGTACAGTGCAGGCAGCAAAATAAAATCCTGACTTTACTCAAACTATTCTATTATCAAGGATCTTTAGAAATGTCCTCTGGAACCAGTGATGTTTTCTGCCAATACATAAACATCTTTGGATACGATTTCACAGGCCTGGGGAGATGGCTAAAGTCTGGGGAGTGGGTAAAGTCTGGGGAGATGGCTAAAGTCTGGGGAGATGGCTAAAGTCTGGGGAGATGGCTAAAGTCTGGGGAGATGGCTAAAGTCTGGGGAGATGGCTAAAGTCTGGGGAGTGGGTAAAGTCTGGGGAGATGGCTAAAATCTGGGGAGATGGCTAAAGTCTGGGGAGATGGCTAAAATCTGGGGAGATGGCTAAAGTCTGGGGAGATGGCTAAAGTCTGGGGAGATGGCTAAAGTCTGGGGAGATGGCTAAAGTCTGGGGAGATGGCTAAAGTCTGGGGAGTGGGTAAAGCCTCGTCTCTCCTTTCCTTTATCCCTTAGGACATTTCTCTTATTAAAATTAGTCAGTGCATATTAATTAGAACAATATCAATTAAAACATTGGCTGGGCAATGTAAGGAACATAAACTCCGTGAGAGGACTGCTTTCTCAGCCCCTAACACAGGTCACAGAGGAGACTTGGGAAGGAGGCTAGCCAAGGAAGGACAGAACGGTGTCACAGGAACATGGAGACTGAGCCTGGCAGGAAAGTAATTAGCCAGGTGCGGTCATGAGGTGGCAGAGAACACGCGTTTCCATACAGACTTCCAGCATGTGAAGACTTGGCATGGGTAAAGAACTCGGTGGTCGGCAAGAAGGTGGCAAGGGATGAGAGCCTCACCAAGCGGGCAGGAATGAATTCATGAGGACCTGAGACAGACATCTGTCTTCATCCACAGCACCGTCTGGCTGGGACCACGAGGAAGTTAAGTCTGAGTTAAAGACGAAACAGTGACACTTCCTCGGGAGGTGAAAGCCTAGGACAGGGAGGGTCGGACACATGAAAGAGTGCCACCGCTCTGGTGGCTGTGTCACAAGGAGGCGCAGGACCATAGCAGGGATGTTTGTTCAGCACACAGGACTTTTCTGGAGAATTTCCAAGGAAAACTATGCCTCAGAATTTTTTTTTTTTCAATTTGAGACAGGGTCTTACTTCATAGGCTGACCTCAAATCCTTGGTAATTTTCCTGCCTCCGCTTCCAAGTGCTGGGATTGTAGACATGACCCATCATGCCTAGCTTCTCAGAACTTCTAAGCAGAGAGAAGAAGTTAATCTGCCCACCTTTTCCCTTCTTGCATTGCTCATTGGTCGCGTTTCACTCTTTAGAAGCCAACTCCCTTGTACTTTCAGAGGCGTCCACACTGCCCCTGGATAGGCATGCCTGAGGTAAGGCATTTCTCCAAGCAGAAAGCAGACATGCCGGGAGAGGAAGGACACAGTAAAGGGCTTGTCTAATGTGTCCCGAAAGGCTCCCATCAGGAGAGGGCTGTGACCCAGCAACTCTGTGGAGAACAGTTTAGGGGGACTGAGAGTGGACGTTAGGACTCTTACTGCAGTGGCAGGGAAGAGAGCACATGGTGCCCAAGGCTGGAGAAAAGACGTGGAGTTGGAAAGATGAATGCAGATGAGAACTTTCCAGGGTTAGGGGCTGGAGAGATGGCTCACCTATATGCATTCAGGCAAAGCACTCATACACACAACATAAAGATAATAATTAATTAAAATGCCCAGGACTAAAGAATACATTGAGAAATAAGAAAAAGAGTCAGAATATCTAGGTTTCTAACTTGAGCAACCTGGAGGATGGATCTTTCGCTGCGTAGGAATCTGAGATGGGGGAGCATGTCTCGGGGGAGCACGCATGAGCTGAGGCTTGGACATGCCTCTGAGAAACCCAACTGCATATTCTGAGTAGTAGATATGGTTAGCAAGGACCGAAGACGGTGAGGCAAAAAAAAAAAAAAAAAAAAAAAAAAAAAAAGCATTTAATGACCCCATGGAGACTGATGGGCCAACGGAGAAGATGGAGAGTGAGCAGGCACCTGGGTGTCCCGGCACACTCCTGGAATCCCCGCACTTGGGAGGTTGAGGTGGGACCAGGAGTTCAAGCTAGCCTGTCTCAAAACAAGACAAACGAGGAGAAAGAAAAAGAACAAAGATGGGGGAGGAAAACAGCTAAGAGCGTTGGTGCCCCAAGGAGGCAGGGTTGGGGTGAATTCTCCCCCAGGGGACAACGGCAGGCCAGGCGAGCACTCTAGAGGGAAGCCATGGGACTAAGTGGGGACTAAGAGAGTTGAGCTTGTTCTGGAGGATTCATTGGGAAGAAGAGAAGAGAGAGCCGTGGATTTGGCTCAGCAGGTAAAAGTACTTGACATCAGTCCCCAGGACCTAAGTTCTTTCTCCAACATCCACCAAGGTGGAAGGAGAGAACTGACTCCTATAAAGTTGTCTCCTGACCTCCACACCCTCCAATACACACACACACACACACACACACACACACACACACACACACACACACACACACAAATACCATAAATAAAATATTCTTTAAAAGAAAGAGTAATAGAGAAGAGGGGCTGTGGTTTTGAAGAGATGTTCCTGTTTTGTCTTGAGAGACGACATTAAGCAGTTAATACAGTGTGGGGGTGGGGCGCGGTTAGGAGCCGAATACAGGGGAGAAGAGACTGTGCAGTGTGAGGCTGGAAGGCGCAGGAGGGGCTGGGATCCCCACTACCAGTATGGAGCCTAAGCTCAGGGCAGAGAGCATCCCCCAAGGGGTGAGGGTAGGTGGGCATGGCATCAATGAAGGCGGAGCTGGGGCAGGAAGCTGAGGGTCTGGTTCAATGACGTCCACTTGTGAAGTGTAGGAAGCAGGCCTTGTGTGGGTCGGGGAGGGGGGCGTTTGCAGAAAGTGGAGAGGGTTTGAAAGAGAACAAACTCATCTTGATGATCACAAGCGAATGTCAGTGTATGAGGAGCAGGAGAGAGATGACTGGGAGAAGGGATCGGGGAGTCGCCTCAACACCCCTAAACCCAGACTCCCAGGTTTGGCTCTGGTCTTCCAGCTCATAGATAATGAAGCACATGAGGCAGATCTGAAGCAACCACCAAGCATTTTGACTTGCAGATAACTAGAAGGCTGTTGTTTTTATGAACTCACACATACTAACTTACCACACGAGCCAACTATTTTAAAACGTCTTTTATCGTGGCGTGGTGGCGACACTTCCAAATGCTAACGCGGGGAAGCAAAGCACTGTGGATGAGCATCCACTAAAGGCTTCCGTTCAGCACTTCGCCTCTGGGCTTTTCTCTTCAGGGTTAGGGTTAGCGGCCAGAACAAGCCCTAACTGTTAGACCGGCAGTGGCGGATTATTTGCGTCGGGCACCTCAGTAGGTGAAATGTTGTGGAACCCTGGGCAGCAGCTCCGGTTACAAATCTCAGCCATATAAAATAACAGGAAATGTGGGGCTTTTGGAGTCCACTGGAAAAACGAGTTATTTGGAGAGGAGTTCCACAGTTCAACTTCTCTGTGTTAAAGAAAAGGATAGCCCATGCAGCTTTTAATAGTGGAAAAGAAAATTCTGCCACTGGGCTAAGAGAGGACCGCTCATCCTATTTCTAGAAGACCTTACATTTAGTTTTAAAGCCATCTTCCTTTTCTGTAAGAGACAAGAGGTTGGAAATGAAAGCCAGAGGGAGCTGCAGGAAGATATGAGGTTTATAAAAGAAAAAAGAAAAAAAAACCCAAAAAAACCGGATTTCCTAATTTTCCAAGATGACCTTCCAGGGTTGTTGGCTTTAATTCCTTCCAAACTGCCCTCTCCCTCCCCACACCCCTGTCTTGCCTTTTAACACTGAACAAAGATTTCCTGCGCATCAGGCATCACCACGTGCCTTCATTTCTTCCTGTAGGTACAAGAGAGATTGCTAGTCAGATAAACTCAAAATGTCTGGGTGATACTGGCACTGGATTTAGGATATCTGTACTCTCCAGAAGAGTAAGCTAACATCCGTGGCCCACCTGGGACAACCCCAAACGATCAGGCAAGCTGGCATGTGTACAGACTTGAGTAGAGAATGGTGTGTCTCTGAGAATGGTGTGTACATACCCGAAGCAAAATAACCCAGCCCTGCAGTGAACACTGACTGTGAGCTGCTGAGAAATTTTACTGGAATTGGTGTTTGCAATGTATGGGGGAGGAACAGAGAAGGGGTGGGGGACAAGGACACAGGATCAACCTTGAAACAAAGAGTTTGAAAGGCCAGACAGAGCGTGGAAGATGAGGCAAAGCTTAAGCCCGAGAGCAACATCAGTTCCTTTCAGGTTTCTTGTGAGAAGCAGCAATAACGAAGGTGGTGTGCCCAAGAAAATGGCCCAAGGTTGACCAGCTTCACCCAATTGGACTTAGAAAGATTCAGTTTCCTTGTGTTTCTGGATGAAGCAGGTGTTTAAAAGATTTCAAGGGGGTGAGGACAAAAGAAAAAAAATCTCAAGGACATTCCTGGAAAAGGGATCTCTGGAAGAACAATGGAACTAGCCAGTATACCATGGCACAGTTTGCTATTTGAAGATGCCTAACCCCCCGGAGGAGGGCAGGCTCTCTCTGTCCACAGCTGTAGAAGGTGTGAGATCTAACTTTCTTAAGTAAGTGTACACAGAGCAGAGGCACATGTTTCCTTGTAGACTTATCATTGTGTGACTGTGAGTGTCACTCAGCCCAAGTGTCCCTTTCCATGGCAGGGAGGAGGTGTACTTGAGCATTATAGGAAGGTGGTGCACTCTCCCCAGGTCTACATCACTTGAGTTGAACCTGACCTCAAATTATGATGCATATTTAATATTTAACCTGATTGAGAAGTGGGATGTCTATGTTAACCAATTATTCAGGTTAACAGGAAGATGCATATGCTCTTTGTAACCAGTTTTGCTTGCTGTGGGACTCAGTCTAAGACCACAAGGAATTCAGGACCTTTGTCTGTAATTCTAGTTCCCTGGGGTCTCAGGCCATCACTGAATACAACAGTGATTCTTGTGTGTTGTGTGATATTTTGTTTGTGTTCTGACAAATAAAGCTTGCTTAGAGTCAGAGGGCAGAGTTAGCCACTAGTTAACCATAGAGGTTTGGAGGGCTGTAGAGAGGACAGGAAGTGGTAAGGTGGGGCTGAGATAGGATCTCGTCCCTTTTTGGTCAGAGGAACTGGAGAGGTAGGAAGTGACTGTGGCTGTTCCCCTGCTTCAATGACTTTTCAGGTTTTTACCCCAATATCTGACTCCTGGCTTTTATTGATAAGATTAATTAGAATTACACTGTACTTGTGAAAAAGAGATGTGAATTAACCAGGTGTCTCCAGGTCAGAAAAGGCCACTGTAGGCCTGTTAAGTTTCAAATGCAGAATTTGAAGGTCAGACAAGTGTGGTTCAGGAGAGCTTACAATGAAAGTGCATGGTCCCTATGGCTTCTGAGATCTAACAGCCCAGAGTCCACAGCTTTCTGAGGTGTGATGTAAGAAGAAGCACCTAGTCCATTGCAGCTAATCCCCTCCCCCATCAACTTCTACACACTCTGATGCCTGGGGTCTCTCATCTCTCTGCAAGAAACTTTTATTCTAATTTTATGTGCATTGATGTTTTGCCTGCATGTATGTCTGTATGAGAGTATTGGATCCCCTGGAACAGGAGTTACAGACAGTTGTGAGCTGCCATGTAGGTGCTGGGAGTTGAACCTGGGTCTTCTAGAAGAACAGCCAGTGCTATTAACCGCTGATCCATCTCTCCAACCCTATAAGAAACTTCTATTTTACTTTCGTTTTGAGGACAGAAGATTGAACCCGGGGCTCTGTACATGTTCTACCACGATGCTTCTCCCCTACCTCTGCCATTATCTTACGTGTTTATTTTGAGGCAGTGTGTCACTCTCTCCAAGGTTAGGCTTGAACTCATGATGCTTTGTCTCAGCTCCCTGAGTGCTGAGATTACAGGCATGCCCCACCACACCCAGCTGCCACTAATCTTCTATAGCCTTTGTGCTAAAGGTCAAGACTGAGAAGAAACTCAATCCCTTGGTCCAGGCCAATCAAGGTGTCAGACAGCTATAATAAGGAGCGCAGTGGCAGGAACGTCCCCCTGTCCTGTTGTTTAGGGAAGAACTGGAGTGGCAGAGGCTGAGGGCAGTTCTGGCAGCTCCTGAGGCTCTTATCCAGAGTCATGGTGCTGGGCCCATGACTGAAATCAGAAAGTGTCAGATGGAAAGAAACTAATTTTGTTTGTTTGTTTTTTGTTTTGTTTTTCGAGACAGGGTTTCTCTGTGTAGCTTTGGAGCCTTTCCTGGAACTCACTCTGCAGCCCAGGCTGGTCTCAAACTCACAGAGATCCGCCTGCCTCTGCCTCCCGAGTGCTGGGATTAAAGGCATGCACCACTACTGCCCGACTTGGAAAGAAACATTTTAAAAGAAGAAGAATCTACTTTGGCTCACTGTTTGGGGGTCTTGGTCCATGGTCGGCTGACACCATTGTGTCTGGGTCAGTGATGAGGCATCATGGCAGAAGGGCATGAGAACAGAACTGCTCACCTCACAGCCGGGAGACAGCGGGAGTCCCCGGGCTACTGAGTCCCTCTTCTTTCCTGTTATTCCATCCAGGACCCCAACCTGTTGGATAACGTCTCAGGCATTCAGGACAGGCCTTTGCTTTGCAGTTAATCATTTCTGGAAACACTCTCAGAGACATACCAGATGTACACCGTGAGAAACTCCTAGGCACTTCTCAGTCCAATCAAGTTGTCAGCGAGACCAACCATCACCCTGGAGATGGCTTTGATTCTCTTCTGCTGGATCCCACCTCTGGATGATGCTCTGGGGCCAGATATGCCTCCTTTTCTAGCACCTATGAGAAAGCCAGCCAGAACCTCCTGGTTCCACCTCAACCAAACACCAACTTCCTCATTCGGTTCAAAGCTCTGTCTTCCCTTTACCAGACCTGGCCATCCCCTTTTCTCTACCCTATTCTTTTGTTTTTGTGGTGCTAGCCCACAAACCCAGGACTCAGAAGTGTTAGGTCAGTGTTTTGTCACTGAGAGACATTCCTAGCCTGCCCATTCTTCTGTTCCTCCTCCGCCTCTTACTCCAGGGTGGGTTAGGAAATCAAGATGGGGGAAGGGCAGAGACTTTATCTAACTGAGATCCTTGAGAAGAGCTATTGTTGGGTGGCACCAGCAACTCCTCAGACTCGGCTACTTTTTAAAAAACCAGCAGGCTTACCAAAGACCTTGTCCCTACAGCTCACTCCTCACATCCCACAGTGGCTCCTGCTTATGTTGCTAAGGCACATGTCCCCTCCCCCACCCCATATGCCACCCATTCCGCCTGACACTTAGTCATGTGTCCTAGCAAGCAAATCTCTTCCCAGGCCCTCAACAGAGATGTGAAGATAGCTCTTCCCCATGTGTCTGCTCTGCACCCCTCTGGAGGAGAGACCCCATCATCCTGCGTGAATCACTGTCTGCTCTGCACCCCTCTGGAGGAGAGACCCCCATCGTCCTGCATGAATCACTGTGTCTGCTCTGCACCCCTCTGGAGGAGAGACCCCCATATCCTGCATGAATCACTGTCTGCTCTGCACCCCTCCGGAGGAGAGACCCCCATCGTCCTGCATGAATCACTGTGTCTGCTCTGCACCCCTCTGGAGGAGAGACCCCATCATCCTGCGTGAGTCATTGTCTGCTCTGCACCCCTCTGGAGGAGAGACCCCCATTGTCCTGCATGAATCACTGTGTCTGCTCTGCACCCCTCTGGAGGAGAGACCCCCATCGTCCTGCATGAATCACTGTGTGCTCTGCACTCCTTTGAAGGAGAGACCCCATCATCCTACATGAATCACTGTGTCTGCTCTGCACCCCTCTGGAGGAGAGACCCCATAATCCTGCTTGAATCACAGGCTAAACCCACTGAACCCAGCCCTGAACTAGCTGTCAGGACAAGGGGGACCAGATCCCCCTTTAAAACCTAAGTGTTCAGGTAACTCCTGTCAGAGCTTCTAGGTATGTGTCTGTGTCCCCTCATATGGCCTTAGGGGACAGAAAGTACCCAGGGTGGCACATACGTCTCTTGGTATCTTTCCTCGTCACTTTTAGATTGAAGTGCTGAAAGGTAAATGTTGAGTTCAGAAAAGCAGAATTTTGCTTTATTTGTTTGTTTATTTAATCTGGTTTTCCAAGACAGGGTCTCATGTAGCTCAGGACAGCTCAGGCTGACTTTGATCTTGCTATGTAGCCAAGGCTGGCCTTGAACTCCTGATCTCCTTTCCTCAACCTTGTGAGTGCTGGGATTATCAGTGTGTGCCACCAAGCCTGGAAGAGTTGTGCCAGTTGCTTCTTTTTTTAAATTCTCTTTCTTTCTCCTTGTTTGTCTGTTTTCAGTCTCTCTATGTTGCCAGGCAAGCTTTGAACTCCTGGACTCAAATAATCCTTCTGTCTCAGCATTCTGAGTGACTAGGATGCTCGTGCTGTTTCACGCCTTTGTTTATTGTTGTTTTAGACAAGGCCTTGCTGCACAGACCAAGCTAGCCTTGTTTCATAGACCAGGCTGGTCTTGAGCTCACAGAGATCCTCTAGCCTCTGCCTCCTGATTACTAGGATTAAAGGCACACGACTCCATGCCTAGCCTTGGTTTTTATTCTGCAAGTCCAAGAACAGCATGCCTGCTGCCCGTGTGCGCGTGCTGGAAATGAGACTCACATAGCTCAGTGGTGTGGTACTTGCCTCGCATAGAGGAGACCCAGGGCTCCATCCATCTCCACTTCTGCAGGGAGAGTGAGTGGGGAGAGGGGATGGACATGTTCTTGTCACCAATTGAAAGCATTGATGTCACATGATAAATATAAGGTAACCCCTTCTGTTCTGAGTATTAATTTTGGAGGAGAAAACCTTACCTTGCTGACAGGCAAAAACTGTGTCCAACATCTTCGTGTTCTGCATGCCTGGGTATAAAAATGTAGACAGCTATAAACCGAACTGTCGTTGCCTAGTGATCCTCGGGACTCCACAGTAGCTGGGAATATAGGTGTGTGTCGCCACACTCAACTCATACATACTGACTTCTGAAAGGCAGGGCTCATTTTGTTATTTTTGTCCTATGTGCTCTGCACAGAGCCTGGCTCACCAGGATGTGTGTGCTGGCTCAGTGAGTTTATCCAAAAGCATGACTTGGTAAAAAGGCCTGTGTCCCCTTCTTTCTGGAAGTCTTTGCACCAGGCTCTTTCCCAGGTTCTGGAATGAGAGATCAGAACTCAGGCAAAAGAGGTGACTCTTTTTGAGCTAATGTGTTGCACCTATGATCACCCTCCAGCTTGGAACAGTGTTCTCCACAGTTACTGAATAAAAGGCCAGATGAATTAAGTTTATCCTATTTGAGGGCTGAGGTGTCACTCAGTGGTAGCAAGCATATCTATCAAGATCTTGGGTTGAACCTCCAGTATCACCACAAAGACAAAGCAAAGCAAAACCCCTGGTTTTATTTACAGTCCTTCTAAATTTGAATGTGACTTTAAATAGCCTGCTACTTCTTGTGCACAGCTCCTAAGAATAAGGACTAGCAACCAGAGATGGGTTTGAGAGCTAAGTTTGGTGACAAAGGCTTATATCATCCTAGTACTTTTGGGTGTTGGGGAATATTAGTTGAAGATGTGTTACATTTGTTTAGGCTGTGGAACATTCGTTTAATGATGCAAAGATGTGTCACATTCTTTTATGTTGCATTTGTTTAACTCTGTGAAGCTGTGTTACTATGCCTGTCTAAAACACCTGATGGTCTAATAAAGAGCTGAATGGCCCATAGCAAGGCAGAAGAAAGGGTAGGCAGGGCTGGCAGGCAGAGAGAATAAACAGAAGGAGAAATCTGGGAGGAGAGAGAAAAGAAGAGATGGAGAATTGAAAAGGAAGAGCTAGAGAAGGAGGAGGACTCCAGAGGCCAGCCACCCAGCCACACAGCCAGCAATGGAGTAAGAAGTAAAGAAAGGTATATAAAAAGATAAAAGCCCAGAGGCAAAAGATAGATGGGATAATTTAAGTTAAGAAAAGCTGGCTAGAAACAAGCCAAGCTAAGGCCAGGCATTCATAAGAAAGAATAAGAGTCTCCATGTGATTATTTGGGAGCTGGGTGGTAGGCCCCCAAAGAGTAAAGAGAAAAAACAACAACAACAAAAACCAACTACACTTGGGAGGATCACAAGCTCAAGGCAAGCCTGAGTTACCAAGCGAGTTCAAGGCCAACCTCAGCAAATTAGTGAGATGCTGTTTCAAAATAAAAAGTGAAAGGAGGGCTTGGGCTGGGCAGAGTGGCATCTGCTGTGATCTCATGTGCCATCTGCCCACTTGCTTCCTACTTTGTTTTTTTGTTTTTGTTTTTGTTTTTTTTTTTGTTGTTGTTGTTTTTTGAGACAGGGTTTCTCTGTGTAGCTTTGCGCCTTTTCCTGGAACTCACTTGGTAGCCCAGGCTGGCCTCGAACTCACAGAGATCCGCTTGGCTCTGCCTCCCGAGTGCTGGGATTAAAGGGGTGCGCCACCACCGCCCGGCGCTTCCTACTTTGGAACATGGATAATGTGAACACTGCCTCCTGAGGTTGTGGGGAACATGGATTGATATATACCATGGTGGACCACTGAGAGCCTCAGAGCTCTGCTCCTGCCACCAGCTAGTGGACTCTGTTTTCCTTTCCCAGGAGCCTGGACTCTCCTGCTCACTGATTTTGACCATGTGCTCCATAGAAGACCATCCCCTCTCCAGGATATGCAGCTCTAACCCCTAGAATCTATAGGCAGATAGCATATTACATGGCAGAAGGGAACCTAGGCTGCAGATAGCATTGTTTCCTAATCTGCTGTCCTTGAGGTGAGGCCACAAGGGTCCTTAGAGATGAGGGAGGGAGACAGGAGAGACAGCCAGACAAGGACTTGACTAGTCATGGTAGCTTTAAAGACAAAAGGAGCACAGGAACCAAGTAATGTAAGCAACTGCTGACAGTGAGGAGAAAAGGCTGGGCTGAGGATGTAGCTCGGTTGATGGAATGCTTGCCTGGCATTCATGAAGGCCTGGGTTCCATCTTCAGAACCACACACACCCGGTACAGTGTTCCATGCCCACTGTCCCAGCACTGGGAAGGTAGAGACAGGAGGAGAAGGAGCTGGAGGTGAGAGCTGGCTATGTCAGATCGAACCGTGTGAGACCCTGTCTCAAAACATTCAATAAAGAAAGAAAGCGCAACTAAAATGCCCACTCCTGAACCACTGCAAAGACAAGCAGCCTTGCCTAAACCCAAGTTCAGTCCTCAGGAACCATTTTAGAATTGTGACCTCCAGAATGATAAGGTAACGTATTTGTGTTCAGCTAAACTGTTACGGTTCTAGTAATCCCTTACACCTGTAACAGGAAGCTTGTACAGACCAGTAGAGTGTGGTAGAGTTATGCTGTGCGGTAACTAAAGTTCAGTTTTTAATATCCACCCCTTTGGAAGGCCACTATCATGTAAGAAGTCCCATGCTGGGAGGAAGCCCAAGCTAGCCTCTTGGAAGGCAAGTACCATGCTTGCTGCCTCGTGAGCCCAGGCCAAGGCAGCCATCAGCTGGGTGCACCCGTGAACCTTGCCAACTGATGTACACAGGAGCCCCATCCAATGGACCTGCCCTTGATTCCCAGAACTGCAAGCAAGTAAAATGGTGGTGGCTTGAAGTCCCTGTATTTTTGGATTGTGTCTATGCTGTTAGGCTGTAAATACTTAGGGTGGTATTTGCTGTATAAGATGCTTCCAATAACTGTTTATTATTGTCATTCTACTTCAGTTACATATACATAAATTTCCCAGTAACTTGATAAGGACATCTCACCCTTCATGTGATAGCTGGGGTTATTGTTACACAAATATTTCCTCTTCCTGCCATCCTGAGCCCTCATCCACTGATGCTGTGCTTGACCTTGTGGATTTTGGAGATGGGATCCTCCAGCCTCAGCCTCCCAAGTGCTAATGTTATAGGCATGAGTCACCATGCCTAGTACTTGTCACGTGTAATAAAAGTAAAAACAGGGACAGTGAGTTGGCTCAGTGGGCAAAGGCACTGACATCCTAACCACCTGAATTAGAAGGAGAGAGCTGACTCTTGAAAGTTGCCCTTTGACCTCTAAATGCAGACTCTGGCAGGAATGTACACACTTTAGTGCATGTGTAGACATACACATAATAAAATTAAAATTTAATGAGTTGGTAATTATTGAAGAGAATGTTTCTCTATTACAAACAAAAATAAAATAAATAAAAATAACAGGCTACCAGGCATGGTGTATGTTTGTAGTCCTAGACATCAAGAGGTTGAGGCCATCACTCAAGTCCAGAAACTTGAGACTAGCCCAGGCAATGTAGTAAGAAAAAAGATATATGAATAAAACAAAGGCAAAAGCCATGGAAGTGTTCAGGATGAAGGAAGTTATTCAGATAATGGTTTTGTTTTGGAGTATAGGGTTTTTTTGTTTTGTTGGGTGGGGGGTTGAGATGGGGCTTCATATAACCTAGGTGAGCCTCCAACTTTCTGGGCAGCTGAGAAAGACTGTCAACTTCAGGTCCTGTGGGGAGTGGATGAAGTCCTGAGTGGATGTGTATTGTTGACATTCGCATGGCCATGTCAAGAACCTCAGTGTCTCAGAATGTCAAAGCCCCCCCCCCCCCCCCGCCCTGGTTCATGTGTGGATGCTTGCAGTATATGTAGAAAATGTGGATGGTCGTGTCTTCCTCCAGGATGTTCAGTCCCTAAAACTGCTCCCCTACAGAGACCACCCTGCTACCAAGATTAGCTAAACATGCCTCTTCATTCAGCTGTGCACAACAAACTTGCCTCCTCAATTCAGATGTATAAAATAAATGTACTGAGTTTCTGGGCCACTGTGAATGAGTCTCCATTGGAGTCCACGGCCCGCTCAATTCCAGCTTTTCTGTGTGTGTGTGTTTATCCTTTCTTCATCTCCTGGTGCCCCAGTTAGGTCAATCCCTAAGCCTTGCAGGTTGGGGCAGGATTCTCCTGCCCATATTTTCCATATTCTTGAGTGCTGGAACTCTAAGTGTGAGCCACCACACCCAGATTATGTGGTGCTGGGAATCAAATTTAGGGCTTCATGCATGCTAGGCAAGCACTCTACCATGAGTGTCACACCATGGAGGAGGCTAGTGTTTGTTTTGTTGTATTGCCAGCCAGGAGTCCCAGGATTAGTTTCTTAGGGCTGTCAGGACAACCACTCCAAACTGGGGACTTCAGACAATGGAAATATTATGTCACCATTCTAGAGGCTAGAACGCTGAAGTTGAGTAGCTGGCCAGGCATGCTGGCCCTCCGAGGCTCTATGGAGAATCTTTACTTGCCTCCTCTGCTCCTGGCAGTTCAGCAATGCTTGGGATCGTAGATCCATCCCTCCAATCGCCACCTCAGTCACACGGCCTTCTCTGTGTGTGTGTCTACACGTCTGATTTTTCCTCCTCTGTCTTCTGAAGTTACACTGGTCTTGGAACCCTCACCCCATCCACAATGACCTCATCTGAGCCAATTTCAAAGATCCTATTTCTAAACAAGGCCATATTCTAAATTTCTAAAGACATGAATTTTGAGAGAGATACTATTCAACCCAGCCAAGTCCCTCTGTTTAATACTAAAAACCAAAGGTATGACTAAACTGTTCAGATGAAAGCCTCAGGTAAACGTTCAGATGCAGGAGAGTTTCTCTGTGGAATGGGGTGGGAAGAGGGCTGGGGGAAGGCAAGACTTAACCTCCATGCGGACATTGTTATGGTCCAGTTGTGTCCCTCCAAAACTCATGTCAAAACTGAACCCTCACTGTGGTGGACTGAAGAGTTAGGGTCCTTTGCAAAGTGCTTAAGGCCTGAGGGCTGAGCTCGTGGTAGAGCTCCTGCCCAGCACTCATTGCATGGATGAGGCCTTGGGTTTGATGCCGTTACTGTAGATTAGAAGGAAGGGAGGGAGGAAGGGAGGGAGGGTCGAAGGAAGGAAGGAAAAGGAAAAAGAAAAGGATAGTTGGGGCTAGCGGCATAGCTCAGGGGTTTAGTATGTACAAAGCCATGGTTTCAATCCTGTCTCCCCCTACCCCCAAATAACAGGATCAGCAGCCGAGAGCTTAGTGCTGTGAATGGATTACTGCCCTTGGAAAAGAGGCTCCAGGGCTTGACACCCTGTTTTCTATCCACCGTTTTCCTGTTAATGCTACTGTTCTGAGCTGCTCACCTGGAGCTGGGGAGCTCTGGACTCTACTAGGTGAGTTAATGGAGGGATCTACAGAGACCAGGAAAATGGCTCCAGGCAAGAGGAGCCTTACTGTTCCCTCCTTAGACTCAGTGAGGGAACTGGGCAGGCCATGGAGGGTGAAGGAAGCGGAGTGAGAACATTTCTGAAGCCGAGTGTCCAGACCGGCTCACACAGAAACTGGAGCTGACTGGTCTAGAGCAGTCATTGCTCCACACAAACTCTTTACACTGCGACCTTCTCTCCAGTTCCAGGAGGTGAGTCAGTCAGGAGGCGCTTGTCTGGTGCTCACAGGTCTGAGTCTTCTCCTAGACCATCCAAATCCCAGGCCTGCACAGGACAGACATGCTTCTGCAGCTCAAAAGGGCAATGAGGAGGTAAGACAGACAAGGGAACAAGTGACTTATTTGAAGGAAAACCTGCAGAGAGGAACTCTGTAAGGATTAGCACCTGGGGGCCTGAGAAACAGCTTAGCAGTAAAGAGCACAAACTGCTCTTCCAGAGGACCCACGTTCGATTCCCAGCACCCACACAATGGCTCATAACCAACTGTAACTACAGTTCCAAGAGAGTCAAACACCCTCTTCCAGGAGATCTGACATCCTTTTCTGACCTCCCAGGACACAAGGCACACACATGGTGGAGACATACATGCAGGTTCCTCGTATACATGAGATAAAATAAGTCAGAGCCCTTCACTTATGAGCTGGAATAGAAGGGAGAGAGTGTCAAAAAGTTTCCTTTTATTGCCCAAAGTTGGCCATGGCTAGGGGGTAAGCAATTTAAAAGTTAGGTGACTCAAAGGAGTTGGAGAGATGGCTTAGCATTTAAGAGGACTGGCTGCTCTTCCAGGGGACCTGCATTCAATTCCCTGCAACCAAATGGCAGCTCACAACTGTCTGTAACTCCAGTTCCAGGAGATCTGACACCTTCACACAGTCATATATGTTATGTATTAAGCAGCCCAATGTTATTCATTAAGCGGCGCTGTTTACCATTTGAGAAAAGCCACGAGGTACAACAAAACCCACTCTAAGAGGTTATAAAGCCGAGCAGTGGTGGCACACGTCTTTAATCCCAGCACTCAGGAGGCAGAGCCATGGGGATCTCATGAGTTTGAGGCCAGCCTGGTCTACAGAGTGAGATCCAGGACAGGAACCAAAGCTACACAGAGAAACCCTGTCTCGAAATACAAAAAAAAAAAAAAAAAAAAAAGAGTTTATTAAAGGGAGGAAATAGAAGGGGTGCTTAGGCCTATGGAAAGATCGTGCAGGAAGAGAGGGCAGAGGAATAAGTGAAACCCGCTTTTATAGACTACCCTGCACATGCGCATGTGGGCTTACGTAGTTATGCCAAGCATGTGCATAGATTACGTGATCACGCTGCTCACGGATTACTAGGATGTAAGGCCCTGAGATGACTAAGTATCTTGCCAGTGCATGCATGGTCATGGAAGAGTAGCTAGGAATTCTAACATTCCATACTCTTTGTTCTTATAGAAAATGTCGGGTGAACAGGAATGGGGGTGCTGTGTCTCCCGAAACTGCCTCCAGCTGACTCAGTGGGCATCGGTTAACTCTTGGGGGTAGGGAAGGGGGCTTTTGAGGTAGCCAGACATCCTGAGGTAGTGGATTGTCCTCCGCTGCTTTGGGAATCGTCCATCGCCTTCTGCTGCTTTGGGCTCTGTGGAATCATCCGTCACCGCTTGGATGATTGGGTCTGACAAGGTGCTGGCGAGGCAGAAGAGGAAGTTTAGAAAAAATTTTACCTTGGGGGGATTTCCGAGGGGCCTAGGGTTGGGGAGGGGGGTGTCCCAGGACCAGGAAAGTTTGAATTATACTTATCTGAAGTGGATCTGACCTGTCCAGCTGGATTCGAGCTGGCTCTGGAGCTCAGGAGAATTTTTAAACATATTAAGAAGCAGCCACAGGGAATTTAAAATCTGGAGCTGGTAGCCATGATATTATAATGTTTAGTACTCTGCTATCAGAATTTTATTGGTTAGTGTTAGAGACAGAGACACACACAGAGAGAGAGAGAGAGAGAGAGAGAGAGAGAGAGAGAGAGAGAGAGACCTGGAACATGCTTTTAATTTTCACCTGAGATAAGCCTTATCTAAGACAAACCTCAAGGCACTTGTTTTCTTTAGTAGTTTAGCATCCAGGAGACATAGGTGATCAATTGCTGAGGGCATTTAACAGTAATAGATTGTTATATTAAAGTCTGTTTTTTGCAGAGCACAGCCCCTTTTGAGTCTGGGGGTGTAAATACTTCTGGATTGTTACTGTTCCTTACTGCCTGGGTATACTTGATGTCCTTGGCCTCCAGCTCTATGGTGGTCCTGTAACAATTAGCTGAGTAGCAACTGGATAATAATAGGGGGATGGTGCCTAGCGATAGAAGGGTTCTGGGGTCCCAGGCTCTGGGGTCCACCTGAGAGGCTGGCAAAGGAAAGGAAATGTTAGAGCTAGTGGGCTGGGTGACTAGGAGGAGAAGGAGGAGGAGAGGAGCTGCTGATGAGTCTGGAGTGAGGTAAATGGGGAGCAAGTGAAATTAAAGCTCCTACCTTAGCTAGAAAATCTCTTCCCATTAGGGGCACAGGGCAGGTTGGCACAACTAAAAATGTGTGGGTGAGAGGGATTCCCCTGAAAATACAATTAAGAGGTGGAGTCTGGTGAGGTAGGTAAGGCTGTCCCCCTACCCTGTCAATAGTGAGATGAGAAGGAGAGATGGGACCCCAAAACTCCCTCAGGACTAAGTGACTCCATGTCCAAAAGGAAGGAAATGGATCACCCTGATACTGTAATGACTACCCTGGTTTCCCTGTGAGAGGTGGCACCTTCAATCCTAGCCCATGCCCAAGCCTAGGAGATTGGCTGGAGGGTGATCTTTGTTTGATGTCCCCATGCCACAAGATGCACAGGGCCAGTCAGCTGACCAATGTCCCTCTTGGTGGCACTTTGGGCAAGGCCCAGATGGTGGCCTGCATGGGGCAGGGCAGGCACAGGCCGAGTGGCCTTCTCTACCACATTTAAAACAGGGACCTGGAGGCCTTCAGATGGCCAGTCGGATAGTGTGTGCCAGCATTTGGCAGTTCTGTTTACAGGCTTTCTCATCTCTCCTATGGTACACCTTAAATGCCACCACTAAGACTTCTGCCTGTGGGGTCAGAGGGCCTCTCTCCAGACACTTAAGTTTAGCCCTTACGTCGGGGAAGCTCTGTGAGACAAAGTTGGTCATAAGGAGTTCGCTGGCCTCTGGGCTCTCAGGATCTAGGCTAGGATATTGTAAGAGAGCCTTCGTAGGCTGTTATAAGAAATGAGATGGATTTTCTTTCTTATCTTGAATTATTGGGAACTGTCTTAGCCCCGGGTGGATGGGCAGCATTAGTTTGATGAACCTCATGTGCATGTATCCTATCCTGCTCCAAAACTCATCTGCGCTCCTCAGGGCAGCTAGAGAAAGAGTGACAGGAGTGAAGGTGGGATCCAGAGTCAGGCAGTTGGAGCAGCCTGATATTGGAGAGGAGGAGCCGAAGGGACAGATGCCTGAGGAGCGGGAGGTCGGACAGGCGGAGGTTCATTGGCAGGGTCCAGAGCGGTAGTCAGAGATTCCTCAGGTTCAGGTTGCACAGCTAGGAGCACGTGGGCAGGAGAGAAGGGGTCAAGAAGGGAGGGTTTGGAGCTTAGGTTAAAAAAAAAAAGCTTGGAGATAAGGTAACTCTTTCCATTTGCCCGTTCACTGGCAGAAGTTAGATACTTCCCGTAAAATATCAGGGTCCAAGGAGCCATTAGGTGGCCATTTTTTATTGTTATCTAAGGGATATTTAGGCCATTTCTCAGAGGAGGAGTGGGACTAAGAGGAGGAAGCCTTATTTCTCATGACTGTGGCAGAGAGAAAACAAACAAACAAACGTGATTCAAGGCTGCAATCTCAGGCATCCCCGAGTTCAAGGGATGATCTGCGATTGGCACAAGTCATTCAATGCTTCGTCAAGTGAGAGAAAGAGGGCGGGGTGTACACAGCCTGAGGATGAGGGTCCAACAGCGAGAACGAGATCTCAGACCGCAGTGTAGGCAACGGTTAGGAACTGAAGCCTGTTATGCTGGCTGGAAAGGGAAAACTCACCAATCGAAGCAGCCAGTGTTGTGTGAAGCGGTTCGCAGCCAGGCAAATGGAAAAGTGGCCAGTTGTAGGTAGAACAAAACCTCGCGGTACAGGGTCCCGGGTGCAGAGTGCCGGGAGGGACTGCTTCGTCTCAGCTCCAGTGTTATTTATTAAGTAGCACAATGCTATTCATTAATCAGTGCTGTTAACCATGTAAGAAAAGCCACAAGGTACAACAAAACCCACTATAAGAGTTTATTAAGGGGAAAATAGAAGGGGGTGCTTAGGTTTATGGATTATTCCGCACATGGGCATATGGGCTTACGTAGCTACGCCGCGCATATGCGTAGATTACGTGATCACGCTTCACACAAATTACGTGGTCATGCAGTGCATGGATTATGTAGGATGTAAGGCCCTGGGATAACTAAGCATCTCGTCAGCACGTGAGCAGTTATGGGGAAGTGGCTAGGAATTCTAACAATATATGCAGGTAAAACATATAAAATAAAAATAAATAAATTATTTTTAAAATTATACACACACGCATACACACACACACACACAAGAATGTTAGGTGATTCAAAATCATTTTTCTTTGCTGGCCATTACTTGGGGTCCATGGGGCTGGGGAAGCATGAATCTAGAGAAACAACCTGTTGTTATTCCTCGCCACTTCTGGAGTCACATGACTGTGCACACGCTGTAAGCAGTCAGGCAAAATGCTTAGTCACTCCAGGGCCTTACATCCTCTGTAATCCATGCATTAGCAAGGTCGTGTAATCTATGCGCATGCGTGGCATAGGTACAAAAGCCATAAACACGTGCTCGAGGTGAACTATAAAAGCAGGCTCTGCCTGTTCCCCGCCTTCTCTCCCTCTGCCAGAGGTAGCATGCACCCCCCCCACACACACACACCCCTCATCCCCCCCCCCCCCCCCCCCCCCCCCCCCCGCACCTTTTTTTCAGTAGGCCTGCCCATCTCTACTGTTTCCTTTCCCTAATAAAAACTCTTATAGTGGGTTCCATTGTACCTCATGTTTTCTCATGCCTGGTAAGAAATGTCGCTAAATAAATAACACAACCCAAGTTTGGTCTGGGAACCAAATGACTGTAGTTCAGAGGACTGTCACATGTCAACCAAAATGGAGGAGGTTTTACAAAATAGTGTGGTCCTGCCTAAGGCAGCTCATCCTTGCCCCCTTCCCACATCCCCTTCCCACATCCGCTGCCAGGCCATCCTGATGCCCTTTGCTCTCTGACTGAGGCAGATAGAAAATCTAAACGGCAAGCATCACAAGGAGGGAGAGAAAGCGCCGATTGGAACTCAAACCGAGTGTCAAGGATCCTGAGAACCGTGTTCAGAACAGGAAGAGATGAAAGACCAGAGCTAGGGGAAGTCGGGGAACAGCTCAGAGGAAGCGGGAGGAGGCAGGCAGGAAGGGAAGGCCTGGTTTTGCAAGGATGAACAATAGTTCTTCCAACTGAGAGCCTTTGGGAGGTCTGTCTGCAGAAGTCCCCAGCTTTTACTCAGGACAATGCTGTGAACCACTGGCTGAAGGAAGGGAGGGTGAACATAACTGAAGTCATTTTCTTGACACTGATCTGCTTAAAAAAAAAAAAAAAGCAGAGGTTGAGGGACATTCCTTCTAATTCCTGGTCACACATTCAAACACAGGGAACCACTAACTGAACCCTAACATGACAGAACACAATAGGTGACCACCCCTGGTGGCACCATGCCCGATGCGGTTCCAACCGAGTAAGAATTAGCCTTCAGACAGCAGTGCCCAGCTGCTTCCTTCAACTAAGACAATGGAGAAACCTCAAGAATAGGCAACTAAAGCACGGGGTGCAGTAGAATATTATTTTAAGGTGTGTTACTTTTGTTTATGTTGCATTGTTTAACTCTGTGAAGCTGTGTTACTGTGCCTGTCTAAAACACCTGATGGTCTAATAAAGAGCTGAATGGCCAATAGCAATACAGGAGAGAGAAACAGGCGGGGCTGGCAGGCAGAGAGAATAAATAGAAGGAGAAATTTGGGAAGAGGGGTTGGAGAGCTAGGAGCCAGAGGAGGAGGAGGACTCCAGGGGCCAGCCACCCAGCCACCCAGCTACACAGCAAGTCACAGAATAGGAGTAAGATTTACAGAAGTAAGAGAATGGGAAAAGCCCAGAGGCAAAAGGTAGAAGAAATAAGTTAAGAAAAGCTGGCTAGAAACTAAGCCAAGCTAAGGCCAGGCATTCATAAGTAACAATAAGCCTCCATGTGTGATTTATTTGGGAGCTGGGTGGTGGGCCCCCCAAAAAGAATGAAAACAACCAACAACATTCTTGTGTACCAACTTGGGGCTGGAACCTGAGAAACCTGAACAACAACAAAAAAGGAATATGGCTCCTTTAAGAGTTTCGGCCAGACAGTTTCTGCTGGTCACTGAGCCCTTGAGCAGCTAGTACGTTAAGTAGGAACAAGAAACTAAGTAAAAACTCCTGCTGCAGTGCAAGCATTGGCATTCTAGAGCTCTAGGAAGGTTGAATGCAGTTCCTGGTCAGACAAGCCTCCAACCAACCAGCCTCGAGAGTTTCACACTTGGTTTTCACGGCCCGGGAAGTGGGCAGAGCCAGCTGAGAGCCGAGTGAGGAGGATCCAGGTGTAGGTTAGCAGTTTAAAGTTTGCTCATACAGTCAAAAAGGCTAAAAGATACCCAGTAAAAGAGGTCCAGATGAAAAACCCTCTAAACAGGTTACAGTATGTTTAACAATGTGCATAGGCTTAAGAAAAGGAAAAGGATGTAATCATAGAAAACAATGAATAGTTTATAAAATAAAGTCTTTAAAGAGAGAGTAAAAGAAAAAAGCCACATAACATGGGAAACACACAGAGAGTCTGGATCCTGTTTGTCACTGTGTTGATTTTTAATTTTCTGATTGTTGAAAAGCAAAGGACAGCTGCAAAGAGACCTGGAATTGAAAGAGGGACTGTTGAAATAAATCAGCCTATATACTTTAGGAAAGCCTTAACTTTTAAAAGTCAAAAAATATATTTGTCAAATGAAAATCAAAAATGCTTTGGAGTTTTGTTCCCACAGGAGATGAGAGGCTGTGTATTCCTTCAGGGTTAATATGGATCAGGTTGGATCAAGGAAGACCTCCTAAAACTTGACAGGTGATATCTATCAGCAAAGGTTACTGCTGGTCTTCCCAGGACTTGGTCATTATCTGAAATTTTGTCTTTGGGACCCTAAAGATACTTCGTCCACAGATAGCAGGAAGCAGTATGGAGAAAACTATGCACACATTCCCAAGAGTTGGGAGGTGTGAGTGTTTTTTGGTTATATGGTGGGTTATTGATGTTTGTTATCAATTAGGGGAATATAGTCATTTATAGCAATCAAATTTGTAGATATGTTAGGTATGTTTTCTAGGTTAAATGTATATATTTTAGATAGATGGTCTTCAAATATTTCAAAGACCTATAGAATATGGCATTTAAAATGTTTTGTTAACTTAGAGCTTTTCATGACAATGAGACACATCTGTTCCTGGTAGCACCAATTTACTTCAGAGATGATGGGCATTGAAGAAACTCCTTATGGAATTTGCTTTCACTGTGGTAAGGTTAGCCACTGGGCAAAGAAACCGTTCTTGCCTTTGACTGCTGACAATGTGCTGTGCAGACTGAACATACAGGACACATAGGAAAAAGACTGTTGAACTTTGCCAAAACAAGGCAGGACAGTCCTTCAAAATTCCTGCTTCACTGAGAATTCTACCAGATACCATGGTCCTGTAGGCTGAAGATGGATGCCCCAATGTGACTTGTGGCCATTTAGTGTCCTATTCAGCCAGAAAAATCTCAGCCCAGATACAAGAAAGGAGAATTGTCCTCATCTTCCTTTCTCTTTAAAAAAAATTATATGTTCATTATTTGTGTGTGTGTGTGTGTGCGTGTGCGTGTGCAAAATGTGTGTAGGGACATGATGATGATGTGGGGGGCATGATATGCGTGGGGGCATGATGACGTGGATGGGGACATGAGAATATGTGTGGGTGTGATGATATGGGGGTGTGTACTGGCTGGGTTTGTGTGTCAACTTGACACAGCTAGAGTCATCAGAGAAAAGGAGTCTCAGGTGAGGAAATGCCTCCATGAGATCCAGCTGTAAGGTACTTTCTCAATTAGTGATCAATGGAGGAGGGTACTGCACATTGTGTGTGGTTCCATTCCTGGGTGGTCCTGGGTTCTATAAGAAAGCAGGCTGAGCAAGCAGGGGAAAAATAAGTCAGTAAGCGGCTCCCCTCCATGGCCTTTACATCAGCTCCTGCCTCCAGGATCCTGCCCTGTTTGAGTTCCTGTCCTGACTTCCTTCAGTGATGTACAGCAATGCTGAAGTGTAAGCTGGATAAACCCTTTCCTCCCCAACCTGCTTTTTGGTCATGGTGTTTCATCGCAGCAAGAGAAACCCTAACTAAGACAGGCAGGGTGATGTGTGTAGAGGCATGATGATGTGTATGGGGGCTTCATGGGAGGGGGCATGTATACCCCTGTGAGACTATGGAGTCAGAGGACAACTTGACCAACTTATAATTCTCTATTTACCTTTATGTAGGTTCCGGGAATCGAACTCATGTCTACAGGCTGTGTGGAAAGAACCTTTACCCACTAAGCTTTTTCAACTGGAGGTGTAGAGAAGAGTTTGCAATCATCTTCAATCTATATGACGTAGAAATAGATGAGACTGGGATTAGAATCCAGGCTGGCCTGAAGCCTTCCTTCACAGTCACTTTGAGGCTTAATTATGAACCTGCTCAACCCCTGGAAAGCGGCCATTATTGATTCTGGCGTTTGAAAGGGGAGTTAAGTGGCCATCTCAACACCACTTAGCCTGATAAAAAGGCCAGCACGTACAGGAGGAACCTGCTCCACCAAGAAGGCCTCATCCTCCCACTGGGGGCTGTTGCCTTTTCCAGGCTTGGAAGCCACTGAGCCAGATGCCTGTAAAACTCAAGTACTGGCAGCCCTTGGTGGCTGAGTGTTCTACCATAGGACGCGGGCCCAGATCCCTCCACTAGAACCTCTAATATGTAGGTGCTCTGACATGCGCTATTTGTAATCATGTGCAAAAGTCTGTGACCTTTAAAATGTTTAAATCACATTTGTTTACTCATTTTGTGTGTGTGTGTGTCTGTATATGAATGTATCTATGTCTCTGTGTGTGCACGTGTGTGTGCATGTGTATATATGCCTCTGTGTGTGTGTGTGTGTGTGTGTGTGTGTGTGTGTGTGTGTGTGTGTAGGTCAGAGGACAAGTTGTGAGCGTCACTTCTCTCCTTCCATCATGTGGGTCCTGGGAATTAAACTCAAATTCTTCAGATTGTCAAGCTAGGTGGCAAAGACTTTTACCCACTGAACCATCTCTCTGGCCTTTTTGGGAAAAAAAAATGTGTGTGTGTGTGTGTGTGTGTGTGTGATGTGTGTGTGGCAGCCCACGCTTGCCGTGGTACATGCCTCCCCATGGGAGGAATCGGACATGGTGGAGCAGGTTCCTCCTGTATGCGCTGGCCTTTTTATCAGGCTAAGTGGTGCTGAGATGGCCACTTAACTTCCTCTTCAAACACCAAGATCAATAATGGCCACTTTCGGGGATTGAGCAGTCGCTTGCAGGAGTGAGTTCTCTCCGTCCACCATTTCAGTTCGAGAGACTGACCTCAGATCAGTGGGCTCGGCACCAAGTGTCACTGGTCAGTGACAGATCTGTGATCTGGAAAAGTAATTTTCATCACAATTCCTTTTAGAAACTGGAGCCTGGCAACCCTTGGCTTCTCCCCTACAGTAACCCCCTTTTCTCCAGACTCCTCTGAGGGCTGGGATGCAGCTCAGTGATAAAGCACTTGCCTAGCATTTGCAAGGTCCTGGATTTGATCTCCGGCCGGCGTGGGGAGGGAGGGTCTCGTCTACATGCCCCATCACATTTTAGGTTCCTCTCTGCAGCTGTGTCTTGGTTTTTTTGTTTTGTTTGTGTTTGTGTTTTCAAGACAGGGTTTCCCTGTGTAGCCCTGGCTGTGCTGGAACTCACTCTGTAGACCAGGCTGGCCTTGAGCTCAGAGATCCACCTGCCTCTGTTTCCCGAGTGCTGGGATTAAAGGGGTGTGCCACCGTGCCCAGCGGCAGTTCTGTCTTACCTCACTGCACATCTTTCTGCTAAGGGAAGGAGAGGCCAAGGGCAGGAGAATCACTGAAGTCTAAACTCCACAGGGAGATGGATCTCAATCACACACACACACACACACACACACACATACACACACACACACACACACACACACACACACACACACACACACACACCCCTAACAAATGAGCTGTACAGGGCCATAGAACAGTCCACACATGCTGAGGTACTGAGGCTTGGCCAAGGCAGCTCGGGGAGGGGTGGTCTACAGAAAGCAGGGTCGGGTTATTCTGAGAGAATCCTCCCATGGTCCAGGGAAGACATTTCCTTCCTTCACAGTAGCTGAGGGTAGACTACGCTGCCCCCAGCTCGCCTCTTGGCAAATGGACTGTGTGAGCAGAAAGCGACTGGGAATCAGACGGATGCAGCTTTGCCGACAAAGGGCAGAAGCCTCTGAGAGATGAAAACTGCCTCCGTCCCCAACTCCTCCACCTCCAGAGGACTGTGCAGCCAGGAAGAAGACAAAGTGAGCGTGGAGATGGGTCTTCACAGCCTTGACAGGCTTTCAGGCTGGAGTGCTGTGGCTCGGTGGCAGAGCACTGGATAGCATGTCTGAGACCTTGGCTTAATCCAGCACATCAAATAAACAGCTCTCCTACTGGTTTCCATACTGACTTTCTCACAACTGAACCCCTCTAGAGACTTGCACCCCTTTTTCTCTGGTTCTATTATTCCCCACACATAGATTGTCCTTTGTTTGAATCCTATAGGAAGCTGGGTGTGTAGTGGCACAGTGTCTGTAATCCAGCACTTGGAGGACTGAGTTGAAAGCCAGTCTGTGCTACAGGGTACAACACTATTAAAAAAATAAATAAATAAATGTTTAAAACAAACAAAGCAAGCAAACAAGCTGCAGTCTTCACACACAACCATGTTCCTGGGGTTTTCACTTTATTTCTGTGACGTTCCATTGTTTGTCCCACTGTTTATTTGCAGCTCTCTGTCACTGAACATAAGATGGTAGAAGGAAATGCTTTTTCTGCCTCAAGCGTGCGTGCGTGCACACGTGTGTGTGTGTGTGTGTGTGTGTGTGTGTGTGTGTGTGTGAGATGATACTCATGTTGGGGTCAGAGGACACCCTTGGGTGTCCGTCCTTCTGAGGCAGGGTCCTTTGGTTGGTGTGCCCGGCCAGCTGACCCTTGCACTCTCGAGACTTTCCCTATCTTAGGCATCCATCTTGCTGTAGGGTTGCTGGCATTACAGATGGAGGCTGCTCTGTCTGGCTCTTGACATGGGCTCTACGGTTTCAAACTCAGTTCCTCACCCTTGCACAGAAAGTCTTCACACACTCTACCATTCCCAAAGCCCCCGTGCTCAAAGCTTAAGTTAGTATCTGATCTGAGCCGAGTACTTTCTTAGGGCCAGAAGAGTGCACACATTTCAAATGCGATGCTCACTCTTTTTCTAAACACCCGCCTCCTCTCCTCTGAAACCTAGCTGCTGTCCCTGCAGGACAGAGACCCCTGTTGCCTGTGCTCATTCAGTGCCAGCTCCCAGTGAGTCTCCAGTGATGCTCCCAGTGAGCCTCCAGTGGTGTTCCCAGTGAGCCTCCAGTGGTGCTCCCAGTGAGCCTCCAGTGGTGTTCCCAGTGAGCCTCCAGTGGTGCTCCCAGTGAGCTTCTAGTGATGCTCCCAGTGGTCTCCAGTGGTGCTCCCTAAATAGCAGGGCTGCTGGCTAGTCTTACATCAACTTGACACAAGCTAGAGTCATCTGAAATGAAGGAATCTCCACTGGAAAAAAATGCTTCCATAAGATCCAGCTGTAGAGCATTTTCTTAATTGGTGATGATGGGGGAGGACCCAGTCCATTGAGGGTGGGCCACCCCTGGGCTGGTGGTCCTGGGTTCTATAAGAAAGTAGCCTGAGCAAGTCATGGGGAGCAAGCCAGTAAGCAGCACCCCTCCATGGGCTCTGCATCAGCTCCTGCCTCCAGGATCCTGCCCTGCGTGAGTTCCTGCCCTCACTGCTTTTGATGATGAACTGTTACCTTGGAACTGTGAGTGAAATTAACCCTTTCCTCCCCAAGCTGCTCTTTGTGTTTCATCACAGCAATAGTAACCCTAACTAAAACAGCAGGCTTTCCTGGAAAAGTCTAGAAAAATAATTCTCAAGGTGAAATAGCACACAAGAGTGCACACGCTGTAGATGGGAGCGTTCGGAAGTCACCACCACTCCAGACAAGGGCCTCAAAATGGCTTCCATAGATATCATTGAAAGGTCAAGCAAACTTAACATTCACTGTTGGCAGACAAAAGGATTCTCCTAATAAAGGGATCATTAGAAGACACTGTGAGGAAGAGCTTGACTGTTTTATCCACTTCCAAATAACTGATTTACTTGGAGATTTCAAGTATACCTTCAGCTCTTCTTAGACAAAGCCAAAGACTTACCACCAATCTTAACCCTAAGTGAAATAATAGTGACAGTCTTTCAACCATGTTAGATCTTTCTACCAGTCCACAACAATCTTGGGGTCAGGCGTGGTAGTGCACACCCTTAATCCCAATGCCTGAGAGGACAGGCTGGTGGATCTCTGTGAGTTCAAGGCTAGCCTGGTCTACGTAGTGAGTTCCAGGCTAGTCAGGACTACTTAGTGAGACCCCGTCTCAAAACTGTCATCCTGGGGCTGGGGTGCACTTAGCAATAACAGAGTGCTTGCCTAGCATGCCAGAGGACATGGTTGGCTTCCCCAGCACAGGAGAGGGAGGAGGAATGTTCAAAATCCCGACGTCCTTTACCTATAACACTCCAAGAAGTGTCCAGGCAAAGTATCTTTTAAGAATGGAATTTAGGCTAAATATGCTGGCACACACACATAATCCTCAGAAGGCTGAGGCAGGAAGACCTGGATTTTTAAATCCAGCCTGAGCTATAGAGTAAGACCCCGTCTCAAACAAATACAAAACCAAAACCCAGCAGCAAGCATCCAGAACTGAGTTTAGTATCTTTCCCACCAAACAGAAAGTAACAGGACCACCTCATACAGCAGTCCCTGAGGACGAAATGAGAATGTGAGAGCAGGATCCTCGGAGCAGTTTTACAGGGCTGTTGCTGTGCCCGAGCCACTGCCCTTGACCCTGTGCATCCCACGGTCTTCCCTTATCGCTTGCCAGCGTGTGTTACCTGGGGGGGGCGGGGGGGGGGCAGAAAAGCGGCAAAAGGAGTGGTTTTGCCAGGCTGGTGGTGTGCACCGAGGCAGGGGGAGAGTCATGAGTTCCAGGCCATCCTGAGCTATCTACAGCTCCAAGCCAGTTTGGGTGATAGAGTGAGACTCTGAATCAAAAAACTAAACGGGTGTCTGACAAGGCAGCTGGGCAGGTCAGGGCTCCTCCCTCTAGCCTGAAGACCCAAGTGCTGTGGATGGTTGGTTGATAAATAAAACGCTGATTGGCCAGTAGCCAGGCAGAAAGTATAGTGTAGGCGGGACAAAGAGGGAGGAGAATTCTGGGAGGTGGAAGGCTGAGGCAGGGAGACACTGTCAGCCACCTCGACGAAGAGCAAGATGTAAAGTACTGGTAAGCCACGAGCCACGTGGCAAGATATTCTAGATGAATAGAAATGGGTTAATTTTTTTTTTTTTTTTTTTGGCATTTACTTTTTTTTTTTTTTTTTTTTTGGTTTTTCGAGACAGGGTTTCTCTGTGTAGCTTTGCGCCTTTCCTGGAACTCACTCTGTAGTCCAGGCTGGCCTCGAACTCACAGAGATCCGCCTGGCTCTGCCTCCCGAGTGCTGGGATTAAAGGTGTGCGCCACCACCGCCCGGCAGAAATGGGTTAATTTAAGATAGAAGAACTAGACAACAAGAAGCCTGCCACAGCCATACAATTTATAAGTAATATAAGCGTCTGAGTGATTATTTTATAAGTGGGCTGTGGGACTGGGGGGGGGGGGCTTGGCGGACCCGGAGAGAAACTCTCCAGCCACATCCAAGTTCAGT